TCCTCTTCACAGATGCCATCAAGAAACACCAGAAGAGCCTGTCTGTGTGGTTCAGTCACCAGCCCAATGAAGAGAGGCAGTTTGGCCCTTCCTTCTCAGTGGATGCAGTCCACGTGGACCCAGTCATCCGGGAGAGCTCACTGGAGGAGATCCTGAAGCCCTCGCCTGACCTAACCATCCAGAACCAGCTCCAGCAGTCCTGCAGGCAGGTTATCAGCCTCCAGAACCTTTTTGATGTGGATGCCTGTGGGCGGCAGGTGAAGAACGTGGTGCTGTATGGCACTGTGGGCACGGGGAAGAGCACCCTCATCAAGAAGATGGTTGTGGACTGGTGCCATGGTCACCTACCCCGTTTTGAGCTGCTCATCCCCTTCTCCTGTGAGGACCTGTCCCATAGTCATGCTCCCATCTCCCTGCGGCGCCTCATAACCAAGAAGTATCAGCATCTCCGGGACGTGGTGCCAATCCTGGGCACTTCCAACCTCAAGGTGCTTTTCATCCTCAATGGCCTGGAGAGGCTCAACTTGGACTTTCGGCTGGCTGGCACAGAGCTGTGCTGTGACCCCAGTGAGCCTGTGCCTCCTTCTGCCATCGTGGTCAACCTGCTGCGCAAATACCTCCTGCCAGAGGTCAGTGTCTCTTTCTAGCTCCTTCATGCTGGAGAAGGGCTGGGGGTGAGCCCTGAGGCACTGCAGGCATGGCCTTTGTGCTCATTGCTTGTGGTGCAGCTTGGCCCTGGGCGAACACAGCTCACAGCTGTGTTCGGAGGTAGCCTCCATTTGGAGCTGCTCACAAAGCTTCATGTCACTCAGGGTTTGTCCCTGTGGGATTTTAGGGGAGGTCTGGTAAGGCAAATAAAGGAGTCTGCTGGGCTATGATCTTCCAGACTCAATGTATGTCTAGCAGGGGATGGCAAAAGCTCTTCTGTCCCTTCTGCCTGGGCTGGATTTGAACCAATGCCCCTCGGCCAGTAGCTTCTTGAACCCCAGCCCCTGTGTGGTATGATCCTTGCACACCTATATGTGGGTTACACACTTGGGACCCTACTGAGCTTAGATCAAAGCCAGAGAAAGAGCAGCTCCAAGCTCACCCAGCCTTCTGCTTCCAGGCCAGCATCATCGTCACCACACGCCCATCGGCAGTGCGCCGGATCCCCGGCAAGTATGTGGGCCGCTATGCCGAAATCTGTGGCTTCTCTGACACCAACCTGCAGAAGCTGTACTTCCAGATGCGCCTCAGCCAGCCTAGCTGCAGTGGACAGGACGGTGTGGGTAGCAGCTCAGGTGAGCAGGAGAACTTAGTGGAGATGTTGTCGAGGAACCTGGAGCGCCACAACCAAATAACCGCTGCCTGCTTCTTGCCCTCTTACTGCTGGCTGGTGTGCACCACGCTGCACTTCCTCTACTTCACCAAGATGGTACCTCCCAGCCAGACCCTTACAGGTATCTACACCAGCTTCTTGAGGCTCAACTTCAGCGGGGAGGTGCTGGACAGCACCTACCCCTCCAACATCTCCATGATGAAGTACGTGGCCAAGACAGTGGGCAAGCTGGCCTATGAAGGGGTGATGTCCCGCAAGACCTGTTTCTCAGAGGATGATCTGCAGCAGTGCTTTGAGGTGGAGATGAAGACTGAGAGTGAGCTTAACCTCCTGGAGGTCTTCCGCAGTGATGTCTTCCGCTTCTTCCTCAGTCCATGTGTGCAGCCAGGCAAAGAGCACACTTTTGTGTTCACCATCCCTGCTATGCAGGAGTACCTGGCCGCCCTGTATGTGGTGCTGGGTGAGAAGAAGACGCTGGCACAGAGAGTGGGGAAGGAGCTGTCGGAGGTCGTTGGGAAGGTGAGTGAAGATGTGGCTGTTGTTGTGAATATTATCTCCAAGGTGCTGCCCTTGCGCTTCCTGCCAGTGCTCTTCAACCTGCTCAAAATCTTTCCTCGCTACTTCTCCCGGCTGAGCGGTAAGGACCAGGATGCTATTGCCCACACCATGGCAGAGGAGTTGTTCAAAGAGGAGGACTACTACAATGACGATGTCTTGGACCAGATCAATTCTAGCATTCTGGGTGTGGAGGGCCCCATGCGCCACCCTGATGAGGCCCCTGATGATGAGGTCTTTGAGCTCTTCCCCATCTTCATGGGTGGGATCCTATCCCGCCGTAACCGTGCCATCCTTGAGCAACTGGGCTGCTCCATTAAGAACCTGGCAGCCTTTGAGATTGCCAAGGCCATGAAGAAGACAGTCATCAGGAACAGCCGCAAGGGGCTGCCCCCCTCTGAGCTGATGGACTACCTGTTCTTCCTGCATGAGTTCCAGAATGAGCGCTTCACAGCTGAGGCCATCCGCTCCCTCCGGACTGTCAACCTCTCATCCGTGAAGATGTCCCCTCTTAAGTGTTCTATCCTGGCATCTGTCATGGGCACCACAAGCCACGAGGTGGAGGAGCTGAACCTGAGCTCCTGCAACCTTGACACAAGCAGCCTGAGGATCCTCTTTGCTGTCCTGCTGCGATGCAAAACTCTTCAGTGAGTACCACCTTCTTCTGCCCTTGGGCACTGCTCAAAAACTGGGCTCTCCTTCACCTCTGCCCATCACAGGGATGCACTAAGAGCCCGAGCATGGCAAAGGTAGGGAAGGGCATGCATGCCCTTGTTTATTCTCAGTGCAGACCTAGGGGACTACAGCTTCCAACATGCAACACTCCCTCGAGCAGCTTTGCTAGGACACTGCATGCTGGGATTTGCAGTCCCACCACACCCTTTGGGAGGATACTTTAGGCAGCTCTGCACCCAGGCTGGGATGCCAGCTCCCCTGGCAGACCTAGGTCCCTCCCATTGTTTATCATCCCCGTGTAGCTATCTCTTCTACTGCTAACTCTGGGCAGGAGATGGGCAGCCCAAAGGTGGTTCCAAAGGGGTGGGTTCTGTTGCAGTCCGTTTGTGGAACTGCAGCCTTCCTGTCGCCCAGGGGGTGGCGAGCTGCGCTCAGCAGAGATGGACTCACGCTGTGCAGCGGGGATCTGCAGCACTTCTTCCTCCGGGTGTTCAGGAGAGCTTGGTGGGGTCCTGATCCCTCCTCAGACCTTCACTCAGCCCCTGCCGACCCTGCACCCCCTTTCCCTCCGTTGCTCCTGCTGGCACTGGCTCTGCTGGCTGATGCTACACAAGCTCTGGTGCAGTTTCCCTTTTGGAGAGGAAGCCTCGCGTGTCCCTGTCTTGGGATGATGATGGGGAGAGCCAGGGAAAATGGAGAGAGGAGGGTTGTAAGCCTTACGGGTAACAACCATTTCGATCCTGCCACCCCCATGTCTCGCTCTGCATCAGTCTACAGCTCAACAGCCTGGGCTCTGATGCCTGCAAGGAAATCCGTGACCTGCTCCTGCATGACAAGTGTATGGTGAGCAACCTGCGGTGAGTACTGACTCTGTGCCTGCATGAAACGGTCTCTGCTGCCCACAGTGTGCCCTGGCCCTGGGCCCCAGCCCAGCCTTGGCATTGCCCTCAGCTCCTGTGTCCACAGGCTGACAAACAACCCCGTGGGTGAGCAGGGGGCACAGTACCTGGCCGAGGCGCTGGCAGGCAATCGCTCACTGACCCGGTTGTCCCTGCTGCACACTGCGCTGGGGGACCGGGGCGCCGAGGTCCTTGCTCAACACCTGGCCAAGAACCAGCACCTCCAGGAGCTCAACCTGGGCTACAACTCCCTGACAGACACAGCTGCACTGCAAGTGGTGGAGGTGGCCAAAAAGCACGCAACGCTGGACAAAGTGCAGTGAGTTCACCCTGCCCTGTCTCTTCCCTCTGGCCCAGTGACCCTCCCCATGGCACTGAGCCTGTGTGCTTCTGTGTCTTGCCCCCCTGCCCTCACAGTGTCTCCCACTCCTTTTCTCTTAACCTGTAGTCTGTACTTCAATGACATCAGTGAGGATGGCATGCGGGCACTTGACAGCCTCCGTATGGACCGGGACGGTGTCAGGGCACTGGTCTTCCTTACAGCAGGCACTGATGTCTCTGACTATTGGTCCAATATCCTGAACATAGTGCAGAAGAACCTGCCTTTCTGGGACCGCGAGCGGGTCCGGCAGCATCTTTCCCTCATCCTGCAGGACCTGGAGAGCAGCCGGAGACAGACTGCCAACCCCTGGAGGAAAGCAAAGTTCCTACGAGTTGAGAGTGAGGTCAAGAAGATGCTGGGGAAGCTGCAGCAAGGGACGCTCTGAACCTGCTGTTCATCCACCCAGCCAGGCAGGGAGCAGTGCTGCTGGGGAGGAAACACTGCGTCCTTATCTGCATGGAGATGCCTAGTGGTTGGGTGCTACCAAGGCTGTCAAAAGTGCTGGGTACGTGGAGCTCAGCCCTTATCTGTGGGCAAGGCTGAAATATGGGAGAACTGTACAGACACCAGGCCAAGAGCAAATGGGACTTGTTCTTCCAGGCTTGTAGAGATCCAGACCCTGCAGCCTGGTCACTGCTGGCTTGGCCATGAGCCACAGCAGTGGCAGAGGGGCAGGACGCAGGCTAGCTTGTGAAACCTTTGGTAGCATTAAAGTGCACCGTTCTGTTTCCACTGAAGCACACTAGTGCCAAGGCTCGACCTCTTCTCTGGGCCCTTCCTGTGGGAGAAATGCAGAGCCACTGGTGCAGTTGTCCCTCCAGCAGCTGGAGTAGAGGACCCTGGCTTTACCCCATCTCACAGGGCTAGGATGGGGCAGCCCACTTCTGCTCCAGCCTGTGTCACGCCAGTTGCCCTTCCCCACTGTGGGCTGTCCCTGTGGGCAGCCGGAAGCTGGTGTCCCAGGATGCTGGTCCCTGCTCCCAGTTCTGCTGGGCAAGGGCTGGCAGTGCCCTGGGCTGGGAGGGCAGGGAAGACACTGGGGTTGTTTAACCATTAAACCTGGGGCGTCTTGT